ATTAAAACCCAGTGAAAATATAAAATTGAGCATAGACACATCATCTAAATGATAAATCGTGAATTTAAAACCCACTGAATATGCCTGAAATGGTAAATCAGCGAAATTAAAACCCAGTGAAAATTAGTCAATTTTACAGTAGTGAAATTAAAACACCATAAACAATAATGCTTTTACGGTACTGTGAAATACTTTATTTTAGCTGGAATTAATTTTCGCTGAAAAGACTTTATTGGTGTTTTGTATGGAATATATTTTCACTGATTTTTGAGAAGTTGAATGTAAAGTATAGGAAAAAAGGTATATTCGCTGGATTTTATTTTCACTGAATCATTCCTTCAGCGAAAATAGCGAAAATTAATTCCAAGCGAAAATAAAGTATTTTACAGTATATCACAATTGTCCATACTGTAAATTCGTTTTATTTGAAAGTTCTCTTAACAAAACAAAATTAAAACTAAGTCAAAGTATTTTTTGTTATGTGGAAATTTTAGTTTTATGATGCATATTTCAGAACTAAATTATGGCCCTTCACTCTTCCCCAATGCCTAAATTAGAATGCCTATTTTAATTATACCAAAAACTGTCATTTGATTTGTAAACTACTATGCAAAAAGTTCAACTCCTAAAACCTAATACAATAAACTACTCGTGAAAGTGGCAACATTGTAAACAAAATAGGCCTGATATAACTATTTATTTTGTTATTTCTTTCATTTCAGAAATGTTATCTAAACATAGTTGAACTCTGGTGACCTTGCCATTTGTTATATAATATAATTCCCTTTATCATAGTTTGTTTCAATATAAATATGCATTGTCATAATTAATTTTGAATACAAACAAGTTTTGGGGTTGAAACAACAGTGGGGAATCTGTCTACCGAATGTCCTTAAAAGATGTAAATATCTTACAAAAACATTGGTGCCTTATTTGTTTAATTATTTTAAGGGACATAATTTCCAGCTTTATTCAAAGTAATTCAGATATTTTAGTATAAAAACAAATGTCTCATTGCAAAAAAAAAAGTGCTGCATTTAGATGTGAATAGATTCATAAGACATGCAAGATAACAGAAAATTTTAGCTGGCTTTAGTCCAAGTATTTTGTACAGGTGTCTGTCAAAAATTAATGATTCACTGAGACAAATATGAACTGCCTCATTGTGCGACTACTGTATTATATGAAAAGTAAAAAAAAACACCCTTTATGAATAGCTATCATGTTGCAA